TTATTATTCATGGTGGGTGTGATATAAATAAAATAACTGCAAGTTCTAGTAAAAGAACCCCCTAATACTTAGAGAGTAATTTAGAGTTAAATGATATAGAGAAGTTTGGCATTATGTGCCCAAATTATCAGGGAAAGGTGCATGCTGGAACTTAAGATAGCAGAACTCATAAGGTAGGGAGAAGCTATGTCAACGCCACATGAGCATCATGCATCTGGGAGGTTGGAGGACAGAGAGGCGACCAACACAACACAGGAAGACAGGGTTTCTGTTACCGCACATGGCGATCAGATCACAGTCTTGTTGAATTCTAGTATGTTCAGTCTAAATGCAGTGGTGCGCCAATGACTCCATTCTAAGTCAAATATCTCTTAAAACTTTCATTATATGACCTTTGGCTATATAAATCAAATCCTTATTTGTCTTTGAGATTGTGTAAGTAAACATCTAAGAATGATAATAACATCAGCAAAATACACTCTAAACCTTCTCTGTAATACATACATTCTGCTAATTTACGACACGGGAGACAGACAAACAAACACACAGCTGTAATGGTGGTTTGCCCTAATTCAAATATATCATAGGTCAGGAACTACCTGTATTTGTACTTTCTTTTCCCTTTTCTCTCACCAATAACAAAAGGAAACTGCTCTAAATGTATGCAAACATGAAGGTAAACTGTTGCAAACTGGGTGAATCTGGAGCATCCGAGCAGATTTGCATACCATTGTTAAAAATAAAATGGAGAGGGAACAGAAAATTTAAAAAATCAAACATTGTGCTCCCAGGCTGTTGGACAGAGAAGGTTCATAGAAGACAACCATGGAAGAAGGGAAAACTTTTCGCTTTAAAAAGGAGAGTTCTGGGAGAATGGGTAGGAAAGAGGGAACCGATTACATGGAACTGTGTGTGACCTCCTCCCTGGGGGACAGACAACTGAAAAGTGGATGAAGGGAGATGTCGGACAGGGCAAGATATGACAAAATACCCATTTATAAACTATCAAGGGCTCATGCGGGAGGGGGGAGCGGGGAGGGAGGGGAAAAATGAGGACCTAATGTCGGGGGTTTAAGTGGAGAGAAAATGTTTTGAGAAATGATGTACAAATGTGCTTTACACAATTGATGTGTGTATGGACTGGGATAACAGTTGTATGAGCCCCTAATAAAATGTTAAAAAAAAAAAAAAAGGAGAGTTCACAGTCCAGAACTGGACTTTCCTCTCTAGGGTCTTCCCCCACCGATGTGGAACCTCAGTTGGGTGTCTGTTTTATGTACGTAGAATCTGGTTGGTTGGTTTGTTTTTTGTTTGTTTGTTTAATTTTTTTTGTGAATCAGTGAGTGAGTGAGAGAGAGTGAATCAGTGAGTGAGTGAGAGAGTGAATCAGTGAGTGAGTGAGTGAGTGAGAGAGTGAGTGAGAGAGTGAATCAGTGAGTGAGTGAGTGAGTCGGTTGGTTGGTTTTGAAGGGGATAGGGTAATGGTTGAAGGACCTTGAGCTAACAGAAGATTTGTGGATTATCATTTGCACATACTTAAAGGTGCAGACATAACATATCGCAGAAGGCTTCTATAGAGATAGCTTATTTCTGTGTAACATTTTTGTTTAGGACCCTGTTTTTCCCTGAAGGATTGTTAAAAAAATTGATTTGACATTTTACTCTGATTTCTGTAAAAGGATTGTTGAGAAATATTAACTTAATATTACCCAGTGTTAGCATTATTGAAAAACAGCAGTTTCTCTCCATTGTGGGTGCTAGAAAAATCTTTGGTGCTTAGTTTTGAAATGCATCCTATGGAACATGAGAATTTTATCATTTAAATGCATTCATTGAATGTATTTACTTTGATCAGAAGCTAAGAGTTGAGCAGTCCACAGCTTAGAGTTGTGCAAGACCTACCAATAGGCATTGCTGTGTTTCAGCCTCGGTTTGTGCTTCGTCTGTCTGGCTTCCTCTTAGGGTCCTTTTATTCATTTTAATTTCCCTTTGACATCACTCTGTTTTACTGTGTGTATTTCTGTAATTTCTATAATTTAAGGTTAAATTATTTTGGGATAAGATGGGATATAAGTAACTATTTTAAAATGTATTCCTTAAGGAGCTATATGTGACCCCCTCCCTGGGGGATGGACAACAGAAAAGTGGGTGAAGGGAGACGTCGGACAGGGCAAGATATGACAAAATAATAATTTATAAATTATCAAGGGCTCATGAGGGAGGGGGGAGCGGGGAGGGCGGGGGAAAAAATGAGGAGCTGATGCCAGGGCCTTAAGTGGAGAGGAAATGTTTTGAGAATGATGAGGGCAATGAATGTACAAATGCGCTTTACACAATTGATGTATGTATGGATTGTGATAAGAGTTGTATCAGCCCCTAATAAAACAATTTAAAAAAATGTATTCCTTGCTAGCAGAAGGCAAGCAAATAAAAATGGGAGCTTCCCCCCCCCCACCCCGCCCCCCCGCCACCGCTACTTTCGCTCCAGACTCACCACTCCACGTTGCATGTGACTTTTAAAATCCTGTTGGATGAAGCTCCTCTGTGGTTACTTGGTGTCATAGTGGTTATGTGTTAGACTGCTAACTGCAAGGTCAGCAATTCAAAACCACCAGCTGCTCCATGAGCGATCACAGAGTTAGTCTCAGAAACATAGAGGAACAGCCCTACCCTGTCTTGCAGGGTGTTGCTATGAGTCGGAATTGACTCCATAGCAGTGGATTTGGGTTTTAGGGCTTATTGGTTACTTGGAGTTGCTATGGGTCAGGGAACTCCTTTTGAAGCCACCAGATGCAGGCAGTTGTGCAGAGTGTGCCTGCCTGAGAGGAAAGGACTAGGTGTAACTCACTAGATGCCATATCTATTACCGTGGTTTTGTCCCTTGCCCTTTAGCTGAATTTTCCTCTTAAGACCGAGAGCTGGCTGGCTGTTGATAAAAGGCCACCTTAAATGTAACAAACTAGTAAATTTATTGTCTTTGTTCCTATTCGATCAACCTCTGGATTTGATCCATTACAGGAAACATTTAGACCTGAATACTTTGACATAATCTTCTAATTTAAATTTTGTTTCCTTTTTGAGAAATAATTTAAAGGTCCTACTGTCTAAGCTTAGATGTAGATTATGGAAATCTTATCTAAATTCCTGTTTACTACGAGTTATATTTAAATTTCTGTAAAGGAAGAAATAAAGGCTGTGATTTACATGCCAGATAAGTACAAGGTTTTAAAAATATTTCATTGGCCCAAGAAATTTAGCAGGAACTGTTAATCCCTTCGTCATAGCTTTCAGGAAACATGTCCATTTCACGTGTCCTTATATTAAGGGTGTCGATTAGTGGTGGTGCTAATGACTCGCGTTAATGTGGGTCAGTATTGAACAGAGCCCTCTCAGGTGGCACATACCCAGAGTTTTGTCCCCGTCATACAGCCTGTGTTTCTTTGGTTGTTTTCTTTGTTACCATTGATTCTATTACGTTTTTGTTTTGTTTTGTTTTCTGTTTCAGTACATTAGAACTTCATTTTGCAGAGTAAATGCAAACCTAATTAGTATATCAGTTCGTAGACATGATCATATTGTTGTAAACAGGTCTTTAAGAACTGTTTTTAGATGGCTGGTATTTCAGTGAGGAGCCAGAGGGGTGCTGTGGGTGGGCACTGGGCTGCTGAGTGCAAGATTGTTAGTTTGAACCCACCAGCTGCCCCCTTGGAGAAAGATGAGGCAGATGCATTTTTTTCAGGACTATTTAGGTGAACACCAATTTTATTTTTATAACTCTGCTCCATGCAGAGTTGCAGCTCATCTGTCTTGAAGGATTGCCAATGGAAAGGTCCCAATGGCAATGAATTTGGACCTAGATGCTGCCTGGCCTTATTGTTGTAAATAGGAATTTATAGAGAAATATAAGATTTGTCAATTCTTAACATAGCCTACATATTTTCAAAGCAGTGAATTACTTTATTGTGTTGGCAGAGTATGTTTTGTTTTTATATTTACAGGTCATCTAAATCAACCTCTAGCTTAAGCAACTATATTAGAAACTTGCAAGGGTTAGGGGTCCAGGGGGGTAGCCGTGTTTTGGTGGTAGGGGGACTTCAGGCGAAGAAACTTGTTTTTCAAGCTAACGGTGTCATGATTTTACAAGTGTTTACAGATTAATATTTTAATTTCATTTTATTATTTGAAATGAGTTTAAATAATGTGCAAAATAGCTTCACGTTTTGCAGAAGCCTGTCCTAATGAAAATACTCCGCTTTCACTAAACGTTTTATAAACGTATACAACTGTAATTCAGAAACTTTAAAAGAAATAATCATTTTACTGGGGGCTCTTACAGCCCTTAGAACATTCCAGACAGCAGTTGTATCAGCATGTTGGTACACATGTCGCCTTCACCCTTTTCTAGCCATGCACTTTCTGCTTGAGCCCTTGGTCTCTGCTCTTCTCCCTCCTCCCCCAGAAACTTCCCTATGCGCTCCCCTCTCCCAAAGCAGTTGAAATGTACACACGTCAAAACAAAACAAAACAAAAACCTTCCCCTTTTCTTTAGCAGGATTTTGAACAGTTATTTGTCTTCTTCTTTTTACCTTATTAGCCTTGCCAGGCTTTTACAAATTCTTTGCCAGAAGTAATTCTTAAAATCTGCCTAAACGGTGTCAGTTTTCAAGCAGTCCTTATTATAAACCGAGTTTATGCGTGTCAGGAATAACTCTTCCTTCGAAAAAGAAAGCAAGAAAGAGAACTATTCTCTTTCATTGTTTGTTCTGATGTTAACGATTATTGAGACAGGCAGGCACCTTACCTGGCTTAGTTTTGTCACGTGAGCGTTCACGCTCACTGGTGATCTAAGTGCTCCACCTGCCTTTCAGTTTGTTTACCAGGAAATCAAGATGTGTAAACTGCAGGAAGTACTATTTGACCCTCTCCGACAGTATCTCATTACAATAATTGCTAATCTCTGAATAAGACAGCCATGTTTTGTGAGTAACAGAGAGAGAGGTTAGGTAGATTTTAGGTGTTTCAGCAAATAGAGCGCTGTAAATGCTTACTTGGATTATGTTTTCATGGCAGCTTTTAACAAAAGACATATGGTGACCTTTGGGGTCAGCAAAGCTAGGACACAATAGTAGGTACTCTTTCGTTCCTTTTAACTGAAGGATCCCGGCTTGCTGTTTTGGAGTGCTGTCACTGCTGTGAACGGAAAGGATGATGGCTACTTCCTGATCAAACCCACTCTCGCAGTAAGCTATTAGCGTTCCCTGCATGTCTTTTCTCCGTTCACTGTGAGAGCATTGTATTTTCTCTACCTTTTTATCACTGCCTTTTCAAATGTACATGTCTATTCTAGATGTACCTGAAGTGGAAGTTTACAATTAGAGTCGAAACTACTGCTTTAAGTTTGGCGATTTTTTTTAAATGAGAAAGTATTTTGTTTGAGATCTTAAATTCAACCATTGAAATGCTAGATTAAATAAAGCTGCCACTGCCTTGGGCACGTTAAGCAAATTAAAAAATATTAGTAATTGTGTAGTAAACCAGATGAATTTTTTCAGGTCACTTTAGGTGAACACTAATAGTATTTTTATAATTCTGCTAGCATATTTTGTGGTATGTTGATACTAATTTTAATTATTAAATGATTGTTTTTGAATTAGTTAAAAAGAGCCGAGCATTGTACAAAGCAGCGTGAAGAATTCTGTCTCTAAGAAGAGAGTAATGAGCTTTCTTAGTTTTAATCCTGCAGAGCTGACAGTCTCTGTGATCCTTGGACAATCATACAAACTGCTTACCTCCGGTTTTGTCTAGTAGCCACATGAGTGTTAAGTAAAAGGGGTACAATCGTTTATTTTTTTTACAGTGCTACAAAGTTTGAAGAAAATTAATTGCACAAGTATTTTATAAAATGGAGAATGGACAGAATAAAACACAAAAACAGGAACATATTTCGGAGTCGTGGAGGATAGGGAAATCTTACAGCTTTCAGATACGTAGCATTTGATTGCCCTTTCACTAGAACTCTTAGTTTTGCCCAGCCCTTAGGTGTAGCATGACTGTCCGATACAGGCCTAAGAGGAGGAAGGTTGACTGCTATTCAGCAAAGAATCATAAATGTATTTACGTTGTTTAACTTCTCAAAATCCCTACTCTGGGACATGAAATTATTCCTTAGTCGAGGAAAGAATATGTATATGCTATAGAACTAATAAATGTTGGCGATTTAAATAGTAAGGGATTTAGTTTTTATATTTTAGTACTCTTTGGATAATATAAAAGAAACATTGTAGAATTATGGAATCTTCACAGCATTTACTAAGGAAGGTTATTGAACCCAAGATCTAGAAATACTTACAACTATTAAGGAATATTTTTATAATTCCACTTTTATTGTGAGGAATAAGGTGCCTTCTTTTGCAAAATGTTTCTCCGGGTTATTTGAGGTGATTTACAATCATTTTTAATATACATTCTGAGTCTACTGGGATCCTGGAATTATGGTTTGTGAATTGTCTAGATTAGTCAAGTTATCAAAACTTAGGAGTCTCTTCTGGTTTTTTATAACAAATGAGAGATGAATTTATTGGAAGCTTAGTGTGTTCAAACCTCTGAGTTATTTGCTTTACCTGTAACACATCATTTAATGTTCAGGATCATCTCATGAAGTGCAGGTAGTATTATTATCCCCACTTTTATTGATAAGGAAATAACTCCATAGAGTACTTAAATAATTGGTTCAAGGTTTTTAAACCAGTCAATGCCAGAGCCACAACTAAAACCACAGGAAAAATCCAGAATTAAGAACTCACTTGCCCGTGACATGGCCTTAGGCACTGGGCTTATATTTTGGAGCTAGTACCCAGTGTGTGTGTTTTCAATTCAAGCACGGTAGTTGCATTATGATTCCACAAACTGTGTGTCAACTCGACTAGGCTATGATTCCCAAGATGGAGGATTAGGTCTTCATTTTGTGATGTGATGAAATTATCCCCCATTGAATGATATAGCGGTTTTGGGTGTGCCTCCCCCAAACTGGATTTTCCCCCTACAGCTATGTATTTAACTTTTTTTTTTAACAAAACAACATAATGACATTTAATACATCTTTCAAATCTGCGATTCCATTCTTAGAAACATTTTTCAAAGTCATCCTCCCTCATTTTTTCCCCCTTCATTTTTTTCTTCACCTCTTCTACTTGTCAAATCGCTGCCCTTTCATGTCCTTCTCCATTGTGGAAGCAAAAGGAAGTCCTAGAGCGAGGTCAAGTGAGTAAGGTGCATGTGGCAAGAAAGAAAGGCATGCTGGGGCTTTTTTTTTTTT